GCCAAGGCAGGTGCTTCCACCCTGCTGCTCCATGGATTAGGCCTGCTTCGGAGGGCTTCGCTCAGACAGTTGGTAGCCACTGGGCTCTAAAGAAAGTTGGGTTGGCAGTGGTTTAGTTTTACTTTCTCTGTACCTGTTTTTGCAAATTTAAAATGTGCCCTTTTCAGAACTGGTCGTTTATTGGGCAGGGCCTCTTTAAATGGGCTAACATCTTTTTCCTTGTATGACACTAGAGAAGTAGTCTGGACCAAAAAAAAAAAAAAAAAAAACTGTGAAACAGTACATCTGCCCTTTGTTTGGAGTACTGTCTCCTAGAGTCTTTCATGTTAGCCCTCTGCTTCTGAATTAAAAATAGCAGCTTCATTGAAGTCCTAAGGGGATAGGTTTCTCCTAAAATCCAAATATTTGTCTTTGAAGATGCTCCAGTGATTTAAAATTTAAGCCCCCAAATGTTTTCATTATTTAAAATTCGTTGACACAAAACTTCTTTGATCAACCAACTGCTGTCTTTTCTTTTTATCTAGCTTGGTAATACTATATAGAATTTTTAGTAAAATTAATTAACTCTGAGGCTTTGTGGGTGTTAAAAATCACAGCTTTCTATTATAAACCAGTTTTAAAATAAGACCTTTAAAAATAATAAGCAGTGTTTAAATTTCAGACATTCATGGTAGACTGACCAAGTCCTTAAGCATGAGGAGTAAATGTTGAGATGACGGTAAGGGACTACTACAAATGTATGGGAGAGTTTTGAACTTTTTAATAAGGTATTTTTGCAATGTTTTGATTTTCTTTTAATAAGCAGATTTCAGGAAAAACGTTGTTTTCCTCTGTACTGGGAATTGAACCTAAGGTTGCTTTAGTACAGAGCTACATCTCCAGACCTTTTTATTTTTGAGACAGGGTTTCAGTATGTTGCCTAGGTAGGACTCAAATTTGAGATCCTCCTGCTTTAGCCTTTCTCAGTGCTGGGACCACAGCTAAAAAATTTTAAAGTGAAAATTTATTTGTTTTCATCCTCTTTCAAGGAGGAATCAGCAATCTAATCAGCATAAAGCAGGCTGTGGTGATTACAGATTCTATGAATAGAGTTACTCTTAAGTCTCTTGGAAAATTCAAGAAAAATGTGAATGTGCATGAGTGCATTTTTGGAGTGTGGTGTTAGGATGATGTGGAGAAGAGGAGCCATAATTCAAAGAGTTTCTTAACTCGCACTCCTGCTCTCTTCTGAGCTCCACACTCCCAGCCCAGCATCTCTACTTGGGTGACTAATACTCTACTTGGATCTCTAAAGTCTAACGTGTCAGTATTAGTTTCTGTCGCAAGCAGGAGTGTGTGCTCACTGGAGGTTGAGATAGTAGTAGTTGCCAACTAGATTTTTATATATTTTTATATGTATGTCACATATCAAACATGTTAATTCATACCCGCCAGTTGCCACTCCCTATACCTGCACAAGTCTGAGGAGTGCGACTTTTGTTTCTCCTTTCCTGGGGATTGTGGTGTTCCATCCGGTTGCCTCCATGTTGATCCAGGGGTCCACTCCGGGCAGGCGTCCGATGCCTCGTCCGGCAGAATGTTGGGCTGTCTCGGTCACCAAGTGGGACGAGCTGGTCTTCTGCACTCTCTCTTCTATACCATCCTAACTGGGGGTCTGCGGCACTGGTTCAAGTTTTATCACTTCACACATATCGGGCTGTTTGAGTAGGTTGCACACACATTTCACTCTTGGGGGTTACACACAGGTTTCACTCTAAGTCACTCTTGGGAGTTACCTTGGGTCCGTCCTGGGAGGTGCCATTCTCCCTCTTAGGAACACACTGACACACTGCTCTTCACACTGACATATGCTCTCTACAGTTTCCTATTGCTGTGGTAACAAATTAACTATAAATGTAGTTGTTATAAAGAGATCTGGAAATGGAAGTAACTAAATACACAACTCTTTCCCCACATTTAGGGAAAAAAGCTTATTGGATTTATAGCAGCTTTTGTTTGTTAAAAGTCTGCCTTAATTTAAAATTTCTCAGGATGTTTGAAAATGAAGTATTCTGAGAAATACATTATTCTACAAAGTAAAAATGATTTTAAGGAAGAAGTGGTATGTTTGCTTGTTCTTGTTTTTTGGTACCAGGGATTGCACTTGGGATGTTGCACTTTCGAAGCAGGCGGCAGAACCACTGGGCTAAATCCCCTGCCCTAAGAAGTGCTGTCGAGTAGAGTGTGAAGCTGTCCCCATTTGCTGCTTCTTCATTCCATCAGTTCAGTGTTATTGACTTAGATGAGTTCCCATAGTTTGCTTGTCATTTTAGTTTCTTTGAATATAAATGTTTATCGACTTTTTTGTCTGGTAATGTGTCAACAGGTGCCGTATCTCATATTGTGGACTAAGCTTTCATTTTGTATTTTAGCATTTGAAGCAAAATGTATATAGCTAGTTTGAGCCTTTTTGTGAAATACAGTCACATGTACGGTTCAGATCTTTCCAGAGCCGTCAGTGCATCACAGACAGGTCATAATTGTTTAAGCAGAAGGTAAACTTCCTTGGTCATTTTGTAGGGAAAAGGGGTCTGTAAATAGGGCTAATCCTGACCAGAAAGAGTTAGAGCTTCCCTGGAGAAAGCAACTAACAAGACTAGAGGGGAGGCATGGTAGCCACCCTTCACCCACCTTCAGTATAACGCAGAGGAGACAAGAGGCGGCCACTTAAAAGAGAACTCTCATTTAGTATATAAAAATCCGCACATCGGTGCACATGTACAGTACATATATATAGACACACATGTGTGTGTGTATGTGTGTGTATCCTACTCTGGGGCCACTGTCACCTTTAATGGCTCACTTGGGCCTCCTTCGTGAGGCCTCCATAAATTTTAGACCTAAGACCTTGACAGGGCAAAGGAAAGCCAAATGAGGCTCACATAGGACTTTGCATGTAGATCATGACCCCCAATTAAGGGTTTTAGGGCTGAAATAGGTCGTAACAAACTGGGGTGGGGGGGCCCTTTCTCCCACTCTAATAAAAAGACCCAGGAGCAAAGGGCCCTTGGGTCCTCCATCTTGCCAGAGCCCCCTACTCTTCATCTTTCCTATAAGGTGTCCAATAAAATGTCCTCCTTTTCTTAAACTTTATATTTCTAATGTTTTATTGATATGGAGTTTACAAATCCCCGAGCTGCCTGTCTGCAGCAGACATGGACAGCAGTATTTGTCCCCCAGATGCAGCAATTGTTTTGAAAGTAGCTTTACTGAGATATAATTCCCTTGGCAATTTTCTAATTCCTTGTTTTTTTGGTTTGTTGTTTTTTTCCTTTTTCGGTGCTGGGAAAGGAACCCAAGGCCTTGTGCATGCCAGGAAGATGCCCTACCACTGAGTGGTATGTTCCTGGCTCTACTTTTTAGAACTATTTCCTGTGGTGCTTATGATGTGTTTTTCAGATATCTACTGCTTCCTTTTACAAGCAGTGGTCAAAAATAAGTGGATGGAGGGGTCCAAAAGGCCATTCCAGGTGTGATGGACAGGCAGAAGGCCTTGAGATGAAAGTGGGATGAAGGCTTGAGAACGTGGTTCTGATAAAGAGAAGAAACAGACAAGGTCAGTGTCCTAAATGAAGAGCTATGAAGTAGATGGTAGGAAAGATAGACTTGTGCCTTTCTCAGATCTCTTTGGTAAATGAGGTCTTTGGTGTGAAAACAGCAGATAAGAAATAGGGGAGACGGCACACAGCCTAGGGGAAGTACCTGTGGTGTCCAGGCTAGAGCAGCGTCCTGTGCTTTGCTCAGCTCTGCCTCAGTGCCTTGGCATTGGAATCTCTTCCCCTCTGCTGCTGATTTGAACTCTGCCGCTGTCTGACTGCCCTCTGTGCCATCCTAACCCCTTCCTGGCCCCTTCATACCCCGATGCTCAGCACTGTGGGGTTTTCTGCCCTTCTGCCTTTTCATTCTTTCTTTGCTCCCAGCCCCTCCAGTAGTTTCTTATCTCACAGAGAATAGAATTCAGAGGCCGAAAGGCTTCCCAGACTCTGCAGAACCTGGCTCCTGCTCCCTGTGGTGTCAGTTCCCACCCTCTCCACCTGTACTCATGGTGACTGACACTGAGCTGCGGTTCTATCACAGAACCTTTGGACTTGCTCTTCGCTCAACCCGGAATGCGTGCCTGACCCTGTGGCAGAGGAATCAACCAGCCTGTTACTCTTTCCTGCCTCTCCAGTTTTTCCGTGTTACAGGGCAGTGTAGTGTGCATTCCTTTTTTTAAAAAATTGATTTTATTGGTACATTTCAGGTGTACAATATAATGACGTTCATCATTGGAAATTTGTACCTTCACATAATCTACCTTTGTTCTTATTTTTTTTCCAATTCCCTGCCCTCCCTTCAACCCTCCACCCCTCCAGTTTGCATTTCTTTTGCATGTGGTGTTGTGTCTGTCACTCCCCCACTGGAGCGTAAAGTCTTTGAAGTCAGACTCGTGTGTTCTGTGGACTGCGGTACCCTTGATGCCAGGAGTGCTACCTTTCCGTGGTGGACACTTCATACTGTGGCCATACTGTATGACTAACAGCAGTCTTCCCCAGAACAGGACTCTGCTATGCTGTCCAGTATGGAACCCATTCTTGGGTAAGACACCAGGTTAACTGCCCTAGGTAGGGCAGCTTGTTACGTCAGGTGCCCATCCTTGCTTCAGCCAGCCAGTCACGGCCAGCAGAGTAAGACCGTGTGGTCTTTTTCTCTTGATACCCCCTTCTTTCCCTGGGGAGGCTGGTCCCGCTACCGTATTGAAGTGCTGGTTCCTGTGGTGTGAAACGCTTGCTCCCCATTTTGAGCGAAGCATCTAGAGGAGTGATAATTTGGGGAAAATGCAGAGCTGTTTGTTCCTCTCGTTCCTTTCTGTTCTTTTCATGCCCTTTTGTTCTCTCTGCCTCTCCGCTACCGTTTTGTGTGGGCCTCTGTCTCATTCAAAAGCCTGCTTAGCTTGAGTTCTTGCCTCTGAGAAACCTTTCTCTTCACCCACTTAATATTCTCTCTCCTTTGTTCCTTACGGCTGGAGAGGAGTACAGAAGAAAACTGCACTGGGACATTTGTTCCTTTCTTTATTCTTTAATCCTCAATATCTTTCTTGGCTTGTTTTTTACAGTTTAATATCTGAAAATCTACTTTGTGCAAGGCAATAATATATCATATTCTGGGCTGTCCCACTGAACAGAATACCTAGGTTGTGACACTGTATTTGGGAAAATTGTGTATTATTTATTCAAATATTTATTGAGGCTGGGATATACTGGTGAATAAAAACAAAAATTCTTATTCTCATGGACCTAGTATTTTGGTAAGAGAGATATACCTTAGACAACTATATAAACAAATGTTACATTACAGCCACAGTGAATCTTATAAAAGAGGCCTCTGTTGCGTTTGAATAAACTTTAGGATGTTCTAGTCAGGAAAGCCAGGGACAGCTCTTTTGAGGAAGCAGAGGCTGAACTGAGATTTGAAAGCACAGTAAGAATTAACTAGGCGTGGGCCACAGAGGAGAGGGAATGGAGGTGGTAAGAAGGTGCTTGGGCACTGGAGGAAGCTTAAGCACGGAGAACTGAGCAGAGTGATGCCAGCTGAGGCTGAGGGCAGACTAGAGTCAGATCTTGCAGCGCTTTGTACAGACTCCTGGTTCTCACTCTGTTAACAACAGGATAACTTTGAAGTGTTTTAAGTAGAGGGGAAAGAAGGGAAAGGTATGGAAAGTATTTTTATTTTTAAACCCTGGTCTGAACACCAGAGTAATAAATGGAGTCAGTGTAGAGGTAAGGCACAAGGCGTAAGAACTGGGGAATTTACCAACCGATGACAGGTGTGTACCACCACACCTCACTAAAAGCATTTATCCCGAAAATAACTTTTGGAAGTTGATTTACCATAGTAGGCACAGGCACAATAAATAAGTCATATGAAAAATAAAAGATGACCTGCGGGAATATGAATGGAATTATACCAGGACATCAAGGGTAAAGATAATGACTGCAATCACATTCAAAACCTAGCCCCCAAGCTCCTGGCAGCCTAGGACAGAGACACTAAGTTAGATCATGTGATTGTTTAGAAAAGGAAGCATAGTTTATCATTTTTACTATAGGAGTGGACATTAAATAGCCTGGATAGGTCCAGTTTGTTGATACCCAAGACCTCAGCTCTTAAAATCATAGCATTAATCTACTTTTGGTAGTAGGTCTTTTTGGGGTTTTTTGTTTCGTTTTTTGAGGCAGGTATCACTATGTAGTTTAGGTTGGCCTTGAACTCAATAAATCCTAGGAAGCCAATTGTATTATTGCTCATACTATCCCTATATAACCGAATGGTTCTTTACAGTGATCCTCCTGCCTCAGACTCCTGCGTGCTAGGATTACAGGTGTGTGTGCCCCCACGTCCAGCTTCCTATTGGTATTTTAAAGCCTACAAATTTGGGGAAAATACAGAACTGAACTACATAAATGCATTTTACCCTGTGGTGTAGCATTAGAAGGGAAGCATCAGATAGTAGAGGAGGTGAGAATTACAGGCAGGTAAGAGGCCCATGATGCAACCTGTGGGTACCAGTAGACCTTCCCTTTTGCCGTCCCAGATGTTTTGCCTTGCCTGCCTCTCCAGCAGCTACTTACGTCATGGAGATCATCCTTTCTGCCCTAGAAGACACATTAGTCGGGGACATAGAAGTGATAGCCTTATTTCTTAGTAGTTCACATTCTCACCACTAACACTTACAGGATCAAAACTTCAGAAACAACATTATTTCAGACTAAGCAAAGTCACCCATGCTCTCCATGACTCTCCTGTGAGTTCTCTGCTGCTGGGATTCAGTCTCCTTATATTCCCAGCTCTGGACTCTGCCTGCAGCTCAGCCGTGCTGCTTACTCTCCAAACACAACATTAAGCCCAGAGGCCCAGCAAGGTCCCGGCAGAACCAGAGAAAGTAGTAGAGCGAGTAGCAGGTCAGAGAAGTGTAGGTGGGTGGCATCCAAGACTTCTGCTCTTGAGATAGTGGCAGTAATCCATTTCTGATAGTAGGTCACATTGGTGTAGACCCCAGGAAGACTTGTGCCGCATTCGGGACCCCAGCTTACCAGTCCTATCTGGATCCATACACCATCGATGTGACATACCAGGGGCCCTCCAGAGTCACCCTAAGGAAAAGATAAAGGTCCTTAGTGTGGTGGAAAGGACATGAGGAGCGAATAGTCACAAGGGATGGAGTTTAGAATGGGCCATGAGACTCACAGGGCTGCAGAACTCTGGGGAGCTGGGCTTTGTACTGCTTTAGGGAGAGAGCAAAGGAAGGGATTCTAGAGTCAGAATTTAAAATTGGTAGTGACCTTAGCAAAACACATAGGTAATTTCAGAATATTCATCTGATTTGTGATAAAGCAAGTAACATTAATGTGATAAGGTTTTCATTCATCAGATTTTTCTTTCACAATGTTAAATTTATCTAATGGAATAAACTGCTTTTCTTCTGTTTTTTTAATTCTATATTTTGTTAAAATAATTTCTTATGTAAAATAATAGTGGTAGTAGTATGTTAGTAGTATGTAAAATAATAGTGAGAGTAGTTAGTTGCTCTTTTTTGTAACAGATTTTAACTGTAATTCAAGTACCATAGAATTGACCCATCTAAAGTACACAGGTTTTTGGTGTAGTTATAAAATTGTGCAGCCATTATCACCCATGCATGCATGCTTGCTTGCCTTTTTGGAGACAAGATCTTACTATATATATATATAGTTCATTCAGGCTGACCTCAAACTCGTTGTAATCCTTCTGCTTCAGCCTCAGCCTCCCGAGTGCTGGAATTACAGGCGTGTGCCACCACAAGCCATGTTAGAACATTTTCCTCACCCCCAAAAGAAACCCCACTCCCATGAGTTTCCAGCCCCTTTTCTTCCCAACTCTTCTAGCCATAGGCCTAGTGGTAATCTATTTCTTGTTTGTATGGATTTGCCTTGGATGAATATTTCACATAAATGGAGTCATATAATATGTGGTCTTTTAGATCTGCTTTCTTAAACTTCACATACTTTTTCAAGGTTTATTCCTGTGACATCAGTACTCCTCTTCACTTTATCGTTGAGACGAATTATAGGGATGTACCACATTTTGTTTGTCCATTCATTAGCTGGTGGACATTTTGGGGGTTTCCTCTTTGAGGCTATTAATAAATAAGGCTGCTGTGAACATTCACGTGTAGATTTTTTTGTGGGCTGTTTTAATTTTTCTTGGGTATATATCTAGGAGTGGTATTCCTGACCAGTTCTCCAAAGAAGGTACACTGTTTTGCCTGTGAACAGTTCTCTGTGAAAGTGCCAGCTTTTCTACATTCTTGCTGATTCTGTCTTGATCATTGCCGTCCTAGTAGATGTGGAGTGGTATCTCACTGAAACTTAGATTTAAATTTTCCTGATGGCTACTGATAGCATTTTTTAATGTGCTTATTGACTATCAGTGTGTCTTCTGGGAAATATCTATTCAGATTCTCTGCTCTTTAAAAAGATTGTGTTGCCTTTTTATTATGGAGATACAAATATTCTTTATATATTGTTGATACAGAGCCTTCATCATAAGTGTGACTTGCAAAGAACTATTTTCTCCTATTTCATAGGTTAACTTTTTACTTCCTTCATGTTGACCATTGGAACACAAAGGCTCTGGATTTTGTAAAACTCTTGCATCTGCTTTTAGTGTTGTATATTTAAGAAAACATTTCCTAGTCTGAGTCACAAGGATTTACTGTTGTCTTTTTCCAAAATTGTTATGATTTTAGTTCTTGTATGTAGATCGGATTTATCATGAGTTAATTCTTGTATGCGATAGATATCCACGTTTATGCTTTTTGCGCATGGATTATTTGTTGAAGTAAGTGTTATTTGTTGAAATGATCATTCTTTGCTCATGAATTATTTTGATAACAGTGTCTAAAATTTATTAACTATGAAGGTTTGTTTCTATTCTGTTCATCTATATGTGTCTAGCCTTGTGCCAGTACCACACTGTCTTAGTTACTATTACTTTGTAATAAATTTTAAAAATCCAAACTTGTGAGACTTTCAACATCTTCCTTCAAGATTATTTTGGACCCCTTTGAATTTCCATATTTTATTCTCAGCTTCTCAAAATCTGCAAAGAAACCAGCTGGGATTCTGATAGGGATTGTGTTAAACTGCAAATCCACTTGGAAAATGCCGCCATTTAAATGAGGTTGTCTTCTGATCAGAGAACTTGGAATGTCTTTTCGTTTAGTTAGCTCTTCTTTAATTTTAAAAATGTTTTGTAGTTTTCAGAGAACATGTTTGTTAAATTTATTACTTTTGTTAAACTTATTTCTAAGTATTTGTTTTTTGGTGTTGAGGAATGAACCCAGGACCTTGTACGTGGTAAGCACACATTCTCCAACTGAGCTGTACTACACCTCAGCCCCTCCTAAGTATTTTTTTTGTACTATTGTGAATAAAATGTTTTCTTAATTTTCTTGGATTATTCTTCTTGTAAGTATATATAAAGAGTTTATTTATTTAGTTTTTTTGGTACTGGGAATCAAATCCAGGACCTCGTGCTTACCAGGCAGGCACTATGCCACTGAGCTACATTCCTGACCCTCTTCTTATAAGTATATAGAAATACAGTTGTTTTTAATATATTGTTCCCATAATCTACAACTTTGCTAAGTGTGTTTATTCTAATTTGGTGAAGGGGTAAGGGGTTCTTCGATTTCCTATGTTTACTGTGGATTTTGTTTTGTATTTTGTTTTTGAAATGGTCTCACTATGTGATCCTGACTGGCTTTGAGCTCACTATGTAGCCCAGGCTACCCTCAAACTTGCAGCAATCCTTCTGCCTCAGCCTCTTGAGTGCTGGTAGTACAAGTTTGCATCACAATACTCAGCCTTTTGGTTGTTGTTATTGTTGAGTCTCATTGTGTTTCCCTGGCTGGCCTCAAACTCCTGGGATCAAGTAAACCTCCTGCCTCAGCCTCTCAAGTGTTTTTCACCTGGCTCAGCAGTGGGCTTTTTGTGGATGCATTTAATCAATTTGAGAAAGTTCCCGTCTGTTCCAAGATTGTCTAGTATTTTTTATCATAAAGGACTATTGGATTTTTGGAAATGCTTTTTTCTGTGTCTCTTGATATGATCATACAGCTTCTGCCCTTTAGTCTGTCTAACATGGCATGTTACATTTATTGTTTTTAAAATTTTAAATCCTCCTCACATTCCTAGGATAAATTTCAGTTGGTCATGACCTATAATCCTTTTTATATGCTGTTAGATTTGATTTGCTAGTGTTATGTCGAGTTCTTTGCCTGTGTTAGTAAGACATACTGTTCTGGTGTGGGGGATTTAGCTCAGTAGTGCCGCCACCTGCCTTGCAAACACAAGGACCCAAGTTCAGTTCTAGTACCAAAAAAACAAAATAAATAAATAAAACAAACGATCTGTGGTTTGCATGTGATATCTTTATCTACTTTTAGTCTCAGGGTAACAATCTCATAAAATGGATTGGAAATATGCTCTCTTCCTCTTAAGAGTTGATATTAGTTCTTTAAATATTGGATAGATTTCACGAGTGAAACTTCCGAGCCTGAGCTTTAATTAGTGGGTAGCTTTTTTTTTTTTTTAATATTGAACCCAGGGCTTCACTCATGGAATTTGTCCATATCATTTTATTTATCTTATTGTCATATATAGTTAGTTATTCATAGTATTAATCTTACCTACCTTTGTTTGTTCCCCCCTCCCCCTTCCCTTCCCTCTCTTCCCCCTTCCCTCTCTCTTTCTTTCTAGTACTGAGGGTCAAATCCAGCAATACTCTTATCTATTTATTTATTTTGTTTCTGGGAATTGAACCCGGGACCTTGCACTTGCGAGATGGAACCACTGAGCTAAATCTCTGGGCCCTATAACCTCAGTTTTTAAAATTTATTTATCTTTAAAATTTGAGACAGGGTCTTGCTAAATTGCCCAGACAGGAATCAAACTTCTGATTCTCTTGCTTCATCCTCCCTCGGTGCTGGGATGACAGGCAATCCACATCTGACTCTTTGTTTCTCACAGATTGGTAGTAATGTTCTTTATTTTATTACTTTACCTTTACTTTTATTACTTTTACTAACTGTAATAGTTGAGTTTTCTTTTTCTCTCATTTAACCTAGCTAAAGTTTTTCTTAAAAATCTATTAATCTTTTTTAGAGAACCAACTTTTGTTCTTGTCTGTTTTCTGTATTTGTGTTCTCTAAGTAATTTTCACTATAACCCTTTCTTTATGCTTTCTGGGGACATGCTCTACCACTGAGATACATCTCTAGCCCCTTTATGTAATATCTTAATATGAAATGTTAATATCTCAAATATTAATTTGAGATGTTGGTTTTTGACATAACCATTTACTACAATATATTTCATTCCAAACACTGCTTTAGCTGCATCTGTAATCTTTGGAATGCATGTATTCATTTTTTCATTTTCATTCATGTCAAAACATTTCTGCCAGGGTTGTTGATACACACTTGTAATCAAAACTCTTAGGAGGCTGAGGCAGAAGGATTGCTGCGAGTTCAAGGCCAGCCTGGTCTACATAGTGAGTTTAGAGCCAGCCTGATGTACATAGCAGGACCCTGTCTGTCTCAACGCAATAATAATAAAACCAAAAGAATTCCTAAAAACATTTTCTAATTTCTGTTTTGGTTTTTGGTGTGTTGCTCAGGTAGCCTCAATCTTGTGATTCTCTTACCTCAGCTTTTCAAATGATGGGATTGTAGGCATGAACTGTGGTTTCTTTTTTGATTTAGTAGATATTTGGGATTATGTTAATTTCCATATCTGACCTATCCTTAGTTCTCTGTTATTTATTTTTAATTTTATTCCACTGTGGTTGGAAAATACTTTGTATGACTTTAATCCTGACCTTGTTGAAGCTTGGTTTACAATTTATCATATGGTCTGTTCTGGAGACTGTTTTGTATGCCCTCGAGAAGAAAGTATATTCTTCTGTTCCTATGACCTTTCTGATCTTTATTTCTTTTATTCACTCATTCATTCACTCATTCATTCATGGTGCTGAGGATGGAACTCAGGGCTAAGCAAGTATTTTAACAAGGAGCTGCACCCCCAGCCCCTGGTGGCTGACTTTTTATCAGTTATGATCAAGAGATAACAATGACATTTTTAAAAGTACATAATGAAACATATCTATAGAAAAAAAAAGTTGGCAGTTGTGTATCCACTTCAGTATATTCATGAAAATTTATTCACCTATAAATCTAATGATTGATGTTTAATATTGGTCTGAAAGCTGAAGAGATTAATTGATAGGTATGTTACGTGTCCAGGGTAACCCAAGAATTATTGTCAGATCCCTCATTCCCTGACTTCAAATTACTGTTATTTATAGGTAGGAAAACCTGGATCAAAATGAAGATGTCTTAAGAGAGAGTCCTAAGGACCAGCACTCACCTTGCAACTGTCCTTTCGTCTTTGTACATCTCCAGCACAAATCATGTCTTTCTTGATGACTGGCTCCAGATTTGGGAAGAAAATGCCAATTGGATTATAGAGACGTTCGCAGTCCTGTTGGTTAATGACAGGGATTTCCACCTCCTGGAGGGTAGGAGGGAATTTGTCATCTGTAGAAGAAGGCAGAAATGAAAGGTTAAAGCAAACTGAGAAGCTGCTGGGACAAAGAATTCACTTTGCAATCTTATTCTCTTATACAAAGAATTTTTGGTACAATTAATTCTAAAACAGTGGATAATGCAAAATCTTTTGTTTGAATATTTTCTCTTATGTCAGTATTCTAAATGAAAAGTAATTCTGATAACTTCTGATTGAGTAAAGATGTATTTTTAAACTTTTCCTTTTCCATTTTCCTGCTCCCAAATCAGTTTCTATCTTTACTTCATTTTGGAAAAAAGTTTATATAACAATTTAAAAACAGTTAAAAAACACTGCTCTCCCTTCAAATGTTAAGTTGAATTATCATACTTCTTTTTTTTAATAGTGATTTTAAAAAATTACTACATGTTTGCAGTACATTATGAATATATTTATTGTGGGTAGTTGGTAGCTGTGGCACATCTTTTTTTTTTTTTTTTTCTTTTTGGCAGTTCTGGGAATTGAACTCATGACCCTGCACTTACAAGGCAGCTTATTTCTTCTTACATTCCATTCCTTTTCCTCCTCCCCTCTCCCATTCTCCATCTCTTAGTTTCTTCCTTATTTGCCAAAGAGCTTTCTCCCTATGATATTTTTTATTGTCTATTTATTTTGTTCTTTGATTTATTTATACTTTGAGTTTCTCACATAAGAGAAACCATACAGTTTTTAAGCCCCTGTATTTGATTTATTTTACCCAATGTTATGGATTCATGGTGCACCATGAATCTGCTTTTCCACAAATGGGTCGTTGTCTTTGTGGTAGAATAGTACTTCATCGTGCATAAATATCACACTTTCCTTATCCATTCATCTGTTGGTGGTCATACAGGCTGCTTCCAAGATGTAGCTATTGTGAGTTGTGCTGCTATAAATATGAGTGTGCATGAATCACCATGATACGATGCCTTTAACTTTTTCAGAAAGATAGCTAAAAGGGGTGTAGGTGGATCAAATGGAATTTGTATTTTAAGTTTTTTGAGGACTCTCTCCTGATTTCCATAGTGGTTGTTACATGCTCACCCACAGTGTACAAGGGTTTCTTTTCCTTCCTCTTTTCCGAAGCCTCACCAGTATTATTATTTGATTTCTCAATGATGGTAATTCTTCTTGGGGTAAGATGGAATCTTAGTGTTGATTTAATTTGCATTTCTCGAATGGCCAGCATGAGTGAGCATTCCTTCTTGTATTTATTGGCCATTTGTACTTATTCTGAGATGTTTCAGTTGCCTATTAGGTCTTTATTCAGTAGATCTAATTTTCTTTTGAGATCCTTGTGTATTATTAATCCTAAGGTATGGCTGGTAAAATTTTTTTCCCATTCTGTAGGTTGTCTCTTCACTCTGTTGATTGTTTTCTTTGCTGTGCATAAGCTTTTAAATTTGATATAATTCTTTGTGTTGATTTTCAGTATTATTTCTTGTGTAATTGTAGTTCTGTTCAGAAAGTCTTTGCCTGTGCCTATGACTTAAAGAGTTTGCCTACTTTATCTCCCAGCAGGTTAAGTGTTTCTGTTTTAATATTTAGATCCTTGAAGCATTTTAATTTTAGTTTAGTGCATGGTGAGAGAGATAAAGGTCTAGCTTCAATCTTCTGCCTGTGAATACCCAGTTTTCCCAGCACCATTTGCTAAAGAGGCTATCTTTCCCCCATTGTATATTTTTGGCCTCTGTGTCAAAGATCAGGTAACTGAATGTGCCAGGGGTTGTTTCTGTATCCTCTATTCAGTTCCAATGGTCCATATATCTGTTTTTGTGCCAGTACTGTGTTGTTGGTATCACTGTAACTTTGTAATACAACTTTGTTCACATTACGTAGAACTGCTTTTTCTATTCTGAGTCTCTTCTGGTTCCATATGAATTTTAGGATTGTTGTAGGAGGAATTGTGTTGGTACTTTGATTGAGATTCCATTAAATCTGTGTATCAGTTTTGGACAGTGTTCTGTTGTCTACAAATGGGATGTCTTTCCATTTTTCTGATGTCCTCTTTCATTCTTTTTCAGAGTACTGATGTTTTTATTGTGTTGGACTTTTATTTCCTTAGTTAAGTGAATTCTTAAATATTTAATTTTTCTTTCTGTTATTGTGAATGGTATTGTTTCCCTAATGTCTTTCCCAGTGGGTTCAGTATACAGGAATACTGTTTGTTTTTGTGTGTTGATTTCGTTTCCTGCTACATTGTTGAATTTGATTATTAATCCTAGGGATCTTTTAATGGAACTTTTTGAGTCTTCTGTGTTAAAGGATCATGTCATCTGTAAAATAGTGGTAATTTGACTTTTTCCTTTCCTGTACATATCCGTTTTGTTTCTTTCTCTTGCCTGATTGCTTGGGGTAATGATGAACCTCTTTTTGAGAGAGGTGATTATGTAGTTAAATTGTTAGTGTCTGCTCTTCTAGCTATAGTTAGTTCTAGGCAGGTATAAGAGTAAATGGAATAGGGCCAGAGATTTAGCTCAGTGGTGCTGCAAATGCCTCACAAGCACAAGGACCGGAGTTTGATCCCCGGTGGGCCCCCCCCAAAGTAATGGAATAAACATGTGAATGTCAAAAAAACATTTTTTTTTTGAAGACCTGTAGATGCTATCTTTGTTTGGCCTGATTTTATTGAAAAATATTTGCAGTAGTGAGGATATGCCTAGCACGTGAATGTCTGGAGTAGATACAAAAGGGTAACACATAAACCCATGGTGGTGAACCTGGGGTACGTGTGCCAGAATGGGCTGTTTGTTATCACTGCAAGTTCTAAAAGGTTTGCTGTCACTGATAAACCAACCCTTCTTTCTGCCCGTTCTCACCTGTATCTTTAAGTTTTCCCCATCCAGTCACCCAACAAGAGGCTGGAATTCTCAGCGGCTTTGTGGTATTGGGCAAGCAGATGGGCAGGATGAGAGAAGTGAAGGTGACTTGGCAGGACAGTCTCAGCAGGGCAATGTCTGCGTTTGTACCTTCGTGTTTTGGATGGATGACGACTTTGGACACGAAGTACTCCATGAGGCTAGTTGAGAATTCTGTTTTAACCGTTCCTATCCACACCCTATATGCGAAAATTATTGACCTAAGGGAAAAAAGAGGGTACCATAAAATCAGAGTGGCCTATAGAGGTTCAGAACAAGTTGCCTATAGGTAACACCAAGACTCTAGGGCTAGGTTGGTTTGTTTGGGTTTGTCTCCTCCTCTCTTTCTCTCCCCTCCCCTCCCTTGAAACTCTTCCTGTACTCTTATCTTGCGTGTTTATGTCCTCCTGCATACCTCTCCCATTCTCCATGGTTTCACCACTATTGTATGCTTAATAGTCATTGCTTTTTATTGCCAGGTTTGATTTGTTCTGAACACCAAGCCTTTGTTTCTAAATAAAAATTTAAAGCAAAGCATAATGCAGATTATACATACACAAATTGAAATTTTTAGGTAGTTTGCTAAGATGTACAAAAGAAATAAATAAAAACAAATTCACTGCTCAAGATCCCAGTTTACACTTTTCAGAGGCGATCATTTTTATCTCTTTTAACCCTTACTAAATTAATTTCCCTTGTGTTTTCAAGAAACCCTGTATATTTCCTATATATTGCCGTTTCTTAGCCTCCCATTTTAGAGCATTCAGCTCCTGATGTCAAAGGTGCGATTGAACTTCCTCTTCCTCCTCCTTCCCCTCCTTCTCTTCCACTCCCTCTTTTCTTCCTCCTATACTAAGAATTGAACCCATGAACAATACCACTGACCTACTTCCCTTGTGCTTTTTTATTTTATTTTGAGGCCTGACCTTTTTAAGTTCCCAGGCTGGCCTTGAACTTGGAATCCTCCCACCTCAGACTCTTGACAAACTGGTATAACAGGTGAGCATCTGGGATTGAGCTTCCTTACTCATCATGGTCCAACCCATTCATCTTCGTAACTAATATTATCAAAAATGTTTTAGTTAAGCCTGGGATAGTGGCCATACCTGTAAGGGAGAAATGAGACAGGAGAAGCACAAGTTTGAAGCCAGCCTGGGCGACTCAGTGGTTTAGTGAGATCCTGTCTCAAAATTTTAAAAAAGTCGGTGTGAGTGGGGGCTGGAGATACGTAGCTCAGTGTGAAGGCCCTGATACCAGTCATGAATTACACACACAAATTGTTAAATTGGTATTTCATGTCTATGTTCCTGTGACTATACAAACATTATTCATTACTGCTCATTGGGACCAAGGAATGTATTTCTTACAAAATCTTTTGCTTTTCCTGGAGTTAATAATATGGTCCCATGTTTATTTTCTTTATACTATCACTAGTTTATCATTTATCCCTAAACTGTCTATCAGAAACATAAATCTCTTTTCAGTAGGTCCAGACCTGTCAGAATTTCTATTATCATGATCCTTTTTGGAGGATCTCACATTCCAATCTCTATGCCCATCATCTTGGTACTTACTTTCTTTCTTTACTTTTTTTTTTTTTTTTTTTTT